GCGCCCAAATCGGCATAGAACCCAGTTAAGCTGCGGCTGTAGTTGAAATCACAATGTTATGCCTTTTTATTTTCTGCCTATTACAATTTCGCGGTAGGGTACTAAGCGAAATACAACCACAACGATGCTGTGGCAAAGATCAATAGAAATAGCTGAGAGACAGGTAAAACGAAGAATCCGCATGGTGTGGTGGTGAACGCGTTACTCCCTGGAAAGGACAATAGCGCGTTCGTTCCCCACCATAGGCACCTTCGGTCCACAGTTTTGCAAATATCGCAGCAACGTTGTGGTTGTATTTCGCTTAGTACCCTGCCGCGAAATTATAATAGGCAAAAAATAAAAAGATATAACATGATGTTCGCTTAGTCCAAATACCGAACGCAATGAAGGTGTTTAACAGAGTCTACAATGTTCAGTTCAGTTTTGGAGTCAGACCCTTGTCGCAAGCTCTGTGTTCGTTCATTTCGGGTCCACGTAGCCTTGTGGGTAGTAAGCGGAATTGACTACCGAATCCAATATGCTACCAGTTGCCACATTATTGACAAGAAGAGCAAAAATAAACGGTATCGTAAAAGAAGTGTGGGCGTTCTCGTGTTCACCGAAATTGTGGAGTACACTGTGCAGCTCTGGATTGCAGTAGGGAAAAATAGAAGTTCTACATGCCCTCTCCGGTGACTTCAAAAATCGTCCCATTGAGTTTGTGTGAACGAGTTGACATCATGGAAATTTCTTTCGCTTTTTTGAAACGATATGCAACTGAACAGAGATCGCATTTCAGAAAGCTCTTGTGAGTTTGCCGAGAACCAAATCAATAAATGTTAGCAGGTTTGAAACCAAAATTAGAAAAAATCATCGGTTTAAAAAACTGAAGTTTGAAAGAAGTTGGAGAATCACCTAGGTACGAACATCACTCACCTTTCCACACACGCGGCAGTTGTACTGCCCCTGGTTGCTGGCTGTCGCCGTCGCCGTCGCCGTCGTCTCGTCCTTGGAGTTGCACCTGGACGCCAGCGGATTCTTCATGCCGTAGCCGCCGTTCACGAATTCCAACTGTTGATTTGGCACCATCTAGAATCGCTCAGCATTTTTAGGAAGTGATCTTCGTTTAACCTCTGTCTCTGCAATTAATATCTTGGCGTATTGATTAACTAGCATGTCTTTCATAAAACTGTTGCTGGCGGTTGTTGCCTTTCTTTTTATTGCAGCTTTGGTTGTTATTGTTGTCTGTACACTTACTTCTTTTAGCTGTTGTTACTATTGTTACTGTTGTCCTTGCTGGTTCTGTTGACTACACTGCCTGTTGTTACAACCTCGCTTATGCTTATCCGTAAAAAAAGCTCTTGGCGTCAATCAATCCCTGAAGGATGCGCCATGCAATCGGTTTCATTAAGCATCATTGGAGGTGTTCAAATGCATATCTCGCGTTTACAATGACTCTCGGTTACCTACCAATGTATGGAGCCAGTGCTGCTACACTTTCAGAGAAGTCTGGTACCAATTTACCGACCCCAAAGAGATGGAAGGCTTCATGAGCCATGGGCGCGGAGATTGATCCGATGGGTACTGCAGAGCACCTCCAGCCACTGCGCTACACACTCCCTTAGCCTATCCATACAAAGTGCAAGCACATAACACTTTTCAGCAACTATAGAATCCTGAAGGAATTGTTGTTTTATTTTCGCTATTTAATGTAATAGCCCTTCAACGCACTTTATTGAGCACTGTTCAGCTTCAGCTTATTTAAAGTCTAATCACGTGTGCTTGCAAACGATCAAAAAATACTTGGGATTAATGTATTCACAGCCAAATTTAGGTCATTGCATAACATTTTCTCTCATTACTACCTCGAGAAAGTTTTGCACTGACGATTTACCTTCTTCTTATCCGATATTTCAACTACAGCTTGTTCATTTTCCTCAATTTAAATCAGTTCAAACAGTTAATAATTTTTTAATACAGAAGCCTAAATTCCGCTATGTTCTTTCTAGAGTCTCATTCTAAGCAGACCATGGTGTTCTCATGGCGTCTTTCCCACAATGGGCGGCCGACACTGATCGCTCGGCCCACGAAAGCATGCTTCTGGCTCCGTTCACGAGTCATAGGCAACTTTCATCTAGATCGAATGCGAAGTTATTCGAAGAGGGACTTTTCAGAATAATCGCAAAAAACCATGTGGTCTGAAATTCCTGTGTTTGGTCGTCTTCAAAACTGTCTGCTGTCACAGCTTGTGATGTATGAGTGTTCAGAATTTGTTCTCTGCACAAACAGCTGGATAAAAAATTGCAGAAAGACAGTCCAGAATAATACGTATTTATCTAAGTGTAAAAACATTCCCGTTTTAATGCTAGGACGTTTTCCATCTACCGGAGTATTTCGATCTCTTCTGTTTTCTTATCTCAATAAACTTTAAACCACATGGATAGAAATGAAGTAAACTAATCACTTCTCCCTCTTGTTTCGTTTATTAAAGCATTCGAAATAAGAAACTCACGAGAAAAAGAATTTAACAAGTTTCAAGTCGTATTCAGTTTCAGTAAGGTATTAACGCAGGAGGAAGCCATTGCGAAGCGGATCGAGGTGTACTGCAATACACACATGGTTTTTACTCTAATCCCGTTCCTCGGCTCACCAACGTTTCCATCTGTTCGAGGTTGGCACAAAGTTACTAACCTGTCTGGAAAGATAGCAGCACTGATTAAGTAGATCGACAGGCCGAAGTCATTTTATAGGGAAGATATGCACTCAGGTACTTTCAGAAATGGAATACATGACGTTTCCGTCAGAGGTTGATCAACGCTGAACGTTTTATCCTTTATGCTGTATACCAGCTTAATTGGCTACTACGTTTGTAAAGCTTCACAGTTGCGCTGAGCACGCAAGCAATTGCTCTGGTTAAAAGAAGGCCGACTTGATCCATCAGTAATCTACCAAAAATCGTCCTATAGGCTAGATAGGTCATCAAAAACGATGCTTGATTAGATCTAATGACAAGCGCATCCCTCAAGAATTATGCAACGCGGAATACATTATCCTACGTCCTTTTACTAATGTTACTAAACTTACCGTAGGCAAGCTTTTAGTTAACTGAACGAGTGGTGATGATGGCTGTTTCTCATCCTCACTGGGAAGCAGTTGTTCGACGAGAAATTGCTTTGATTTGTCTTTCTTGATGAGCGGAGTGAACTGTGGTAGCAGCGGAATTCGTTGCAGTGGTGCGATGCTGAACGGATGAAGCGGAAAGAGCGATGGTAGTGGCGAGACGAGCGACAGCCAGCGAGTGTCCATCACTGAAGTTCTTCGGTTTGTGATTCATCGTAAACAAACGAGGAGATTCTCATGAAAAGCCATCATAGGACGAGGACAAGCAGAATAAAGTGAAAAATCAGTTTTGACTTCGCGAAACATCACCTAATTGTTAAACAAGATTATAATGTGAAGAAGAAAGTTGAGAATCAACAAATTATTCCGACTGACCCGCTTTAGTTTTTCATAGTTCTCCTTCTTATGAGTACTACATAGGCTGTGGCGCTCCTGGATGAGATTTTCACATAGATGGGAAAGACATCATATTTCTTTGGAGTGTGGAAAAAGTTCCTGTTCCGGTTAATGGGTTTAGTAAGAGAGTTGTTCCATCCGCAAACGATTTACGATACTTCCGAGAATTAGCGCCATGTCACCCATCAAGTCGTGAATTAGTAATTCTAAGAGCTCCCCTGCTTGTCATTTTTTGCTGCGCATGGCTGGAAAAGCTTGTAGCAATGTTTTTTCTCAATGGTAGCTTTTTATTTGTTGCCTACTACAAATCTTTGTGGCATGGTATTATGCGAAATACAACCGCAATGGTGCTGAGATATTTGCAAAACTCCTCAAAACTGCAGCCGTATGCGGTGGGGAACGAGCGCGCTATTACCCTTTCCGGGGCTAACGTATTCACCACCACACCCTGTGGTCCTTCGTTTCGCCTCTCTCTCAACTGGTTTGCTTTACTATACTACCACTATTTTTTTTTCCAAACTTTCCGACATCGACGGTGTTTGCCTATAAATCGTCATTGCCTTAACCTTTCCATCACATAGCAGTATGAAGCAGCTCATAAAACGACTTAACCGCTTCGAAGAAGATTTATTTAGTCCTCAGCAAGAAAGCAACAAATGGAACGAATTTTCGACAACATCGACAGCCGTGACAAATTCTAAAAATTCAGTGAAATATTTCTATTGGCTAGGTTTTTTGCTATGCTCTTAAGAGCGAAAGTAAACAAAGAGCTGTTTAGCTTTTAAACAAGATAGCACGACAGGTAGAGATACCGTTGATTAAGAGGCAAATGCGCTCGTTCATCTCCTCGTCAATGCTCTCTAGAACCTAAGCTCGCAATCTCCAAGATGGCAAGAAGAAATTCACTCGACCATTATTCTACGACACTCATAAGGAAAGCGAAATCTTCAAGCAGTACCCGAAACAACATGCGAAACGCCCGAAGACCACTGTGAAGGACGAATGCGAGGAAAACGAATTGAATTGAATGCGAGAAGTTCTGGGATCGATCAGCACAATAGATGTAGTAACGGATCATGTAAAATAAATAAATAAGGTTTACAATGTTAACTTTTTATTCACTGCCTATCGCAATTTTTCACGGCAGGGTATTATGTGTGATACAACCGCAGTGGAACCGAGATATTTGCAAAACTCCAGACCGCAGGTGACTGCGGTGAGGAACGAACGCGCTATTACCCCTTCCAGAGGTTAACGCGTTCATCGCCATGCCATGCAAGTCCTTCTTTTCGCCTGTCTCTTAGAGAGATCTATCGATCAGTGCCATCAGCAATCACTCATCACCGTCAAATAAAATTTATTTTGAAAGACCGCGACGACCACGTTAAATTAATCACGAAAAAATCTGTGGTTCTATGTGTGCTCAAGGCTTCTCTTTTGTGAAAGAAAATGATTTTTCTTCGGCGTTTTGCTACTTTAGACTAAACTTCAATTTCTTGCACGAGTTGCCACAGCCATCGAGATAGCGAAACCAAACACCTCTCGAAGGGAACGTTCCATGCGGAAGCAGCTACGGTGACTGTAACTAATTTTAAGTTTAAAAGGTCTGCTAATCTCTAACAGAAGTCAATCGTGATCGTTCCTCGAATCCCACAACTACCACTGTAAACAACTACTTCACAAAAATTGACACACTTCACTAAGAATTGATAAAATCGTACGCGGAAAAGTAAGTAAAAAAGCTCGTGCTTCCGCAGGAATAGAGCTGATGAAGTTGAACATACTGCTCTAAGAAAACAACCTTCATTTACCGTAGTCATGCCAGCTCGCGGCGTTCGATTACCTGTTTTTCAGAGTAAGCACTTCAAAAAAAGGACCTCAGAAATGCTTCTTACGTCGCATTCGATAAAATTCATGGCGTTCAGGAATTCGTTCTGCTTCTTGTTAGAAAAGAATGTCGATTCTCTTGCCTTCTATTTTCACTAACAAAGCCGTGATCACACAGTTTTCTAGACTTTTGATAATATCGTTTAAAATCAGGTAATATTCCAATCACTTAACCCCTTTATCCTTCAATACTTATGTGCACATATATGGTCTGTAGAAAATATAGAATAATAGCGTAATATATGAATAGAAGTGGAAATTGGTACCAATGTATGCTGTTTAGTCGACAAGATCAAAAAGGTATAAAATAAAGACAAGAATTTCAAAAACTGACTGTAGTCATAATGGTGCTGAGATATTTGCAAAACTCCGGAGCGCAGGTTTCTGCGGTGGGGAACGAGCGCGCTATTGTCCTTTCCGGGAGCTAACGCGTTCACCACCACACCATGCGGGTCCTTCATTTTGTTTGTCTCTCAGCCAGTTTTTAACTGCAATAAAAAAGTTTCTTTTGTAAAAAACTAAAATTTAGGTACTAAAGTACTGTTCTACTTAAACATATGAAAAAAATTTATGCTTAAAGCGCATACAAGCGCTGCAGCACGGTAAATCACATATGCCTCATATTGTTGTTATGTGGGAGACTGTTAAATATACGAAACCTGAGAGGGGAAACGTAGTTCATTGAGTTTTTCTACATTAAAACATCGATCACATTCTAAATTACTTTTTTCATTCCAGAACAACAACGAACAAATCCGACCACACTGATGAACTATCGCAGCGCCAGTTGTTGTTTTGTTTTTACTCAAAGCTAGCAAATATCTTTAATCAGACCTTTAATCTAACTGGTCATATGCATTGACGATTGTTCTCAAACGAGGTGGCGAGTAGATGAGTGCTTTAGCCCAACCGCGATAGAAACAATTTTTCCTCGGATGCGAACATTCAGGTTCTTTCGACGATGAAAAATGTACTTCCGTGGATTATTCAGCTAACACGAGGTTGACATACAATCTTTATTCATTTGATTCTTCACCGATTTCGTCTTCATCATAACTATGATTATCCGGTTCGTTGGTCCACAGTCATTGATCCTCACGTTGTAGGACCCCATAGTTGTATCGAGTCCAATGCTGAAGTGGAGCGCCGCTTGAAGTTAGCCTAGTAATGTGAAAAGTTTTTTTTAAAATTTTTTAGCAAGTACAAGAATTGAGGCACTTGAACATGGGAGCACCGTGTAGCAGAAACTTCGCGCTATAGCTCTATTAAGGGTAGGAATGATTTGCATGCTAAAGGTCGTTCAGAAATAAAGGAGCGTCTTAAAATATTTACTGTTCTAACCATTTTATTTGCTGCCTACTATAATTTTTAACAGCAGGGTATCATGTGAAATACAACTAAGATGATGCTGATATTTGCAAAACTCCGAACCGCAGGTGCCTGCGGTGAGGAACGAACGCGCTGTTGTCCTTTCCGGGAAGTAACGCTTTCACCACCACACTATGCGGGTTCTTCGTTTCGCCTGTCTCTCAACTTGTTAAAAATTATAGTAGGCAGTAAATAAGACGGTTAAGATTGTGATTATAACTAAAGCCACAGCGTAACTGGGTTCATTGCCGATTTGGGCTTCCCAGATCAATCCCGTTGACAGGTGATTGTTGATGGCGCTGATCGATAGAACTAGCTGAGAGACAGGCGAAACGAAGAACCCGCATAGTGTGGTGGTGAAAGCGTTACTTCCCGGAAAGGACAACAGCACGTTCGTTCCTCACCGCAGACACCTGCGGTCAGGAGTTTTGCAAATATCTTAGCATCATCTTAGTTGTATCTATTGTTTTAATCTATTTTTTACAAAAAATATTCTCTGAATTTTGAAATATTATATATCTTTGGAGAGCTGATTTTATGCTTTAACTGGTAGTATATTTTGACAAACATTAAGCTTTTTTGCCAATTTTGAGCTTTGCATTTTCAGATGTCAAAAACGAATTTTCCTCAAATTTTCTTTTATGGATTCGAACTCGGCCGCGGGACAGCAGAGACGGCTGGAAACATTAACAAAGTTTGGAATAAAGTAGTGTTGGTGAATCAACAGTGCGAACATGGTTCTTGAAATTCCAATCTGGTGATTTCGACCTAGAGGATAAGGAAAGCCACAGACGTCCCAGTGTACTTGTCGACAACGAATTGAAGGCGCGGCGCTGTTGGAAGCAAACACGCGAACAACTTTTCTAGGCTTGCACAACAGTCTAGCCTGAGCACAGAAACAATTTCCACTGACATAAAACGCACAGGAAAGACAAAAAACTCGGCAAGTGCGTGCCGCACGAATTAGACTGTAATTTAAAAATTCTCCGTTCCGAAGCGTCGTCTGCTGTGATTCTGCGCAACAAAAACGACAATTTTCTTGATCGAATTGTGACCTGCTTCGAGAAATGATTCTGTACGACAACCGGCGATGTTGAGCTCAACAGTTGGATTGCGATCAGGCTCTGCAACACTTCCCAAAGCCGAAATTGCACCAAAAAAAGGTTACGGTGATCGTTTGGTGGTCTGCAGCTGGGCTAATTCATTACAGCTTTCTAAATTCAGGTGAAACGACTACGGAACAAAAGTATTGCCAACAAATCAGCAAAGTGAATCGTGAACTCCAGCAACAATGACGGGCATTAGTCAACAAAAAAGGACCAATCCTTCTCCACGACAATGCTCGGCCTCACATTGTAGAGCCAGCTCTGCAGAAGTTGAACAAGTTAAGATGCTAAACTTTGCGTCGTCCGCCGTATTCATCAGACCTATCGCCTACCGACTGTGACTTCTTCAATCACCACTATAACTTCATGCACGACAAATTCTTCACCAACTACTATAACGCAAGAAATGTCTTCAGCGAATTCATTACT